GATTACATGGAACAACATCTGATCCCAATGGTGTTAAACCCTCTACATCATGACCTATATGCCCGTAGGAGGGGTGTGGCTGTCGGGAAGAAGAGGGGTTCGATGATGAAGAATGAAATGAGGGTATAGGATATGTGGGTCTTTGGAATGAGGGAATACAAGCTGTGGACATAGGAATCAATGATACATTTTAGCCTACATAATATGGGAAAAAAAGCATGTACGTTTCATTCCCATGTACATGTTTTGGCACAGTATATATATATATATATATATATATAGGCAATTTAGATACATCCTCAACAGTAAAAAAAAACGCAAGTCATTGTCATCAGTTATCTCCATCACACAAACTTTGGTTTCAAAATGATACACGCGTCTAATTATAATATCAAACTGTAGGGGGTTAATGTTACTCAATCTATACACGTGACCTAGAAATTCTCCGTACGTGATTGTACTATTCACTATCAATCCTCTCGTATGACCGCCGACATAATATTTTTCGCTATCATTCCATTCTCCATCGAATATTATGAAAACACGAGGCATCCTGCAAATAGATAAAACTAAATGAGATAGGAAAATCGATCATTAAGAAATAAAATATTAAAAATTAAAAAAAATACATATCTCGGATGAATCTTGGATCAGTCTTGGTCCGAGACTTGTCCTGAACAAATCTCGGAGCAAGACTGGTACAAGACATGTCCCAGACTAAATATGCTTCTAGATTAGTCCAGGACATGTCTCGAACCAAGACTGGTCCGAGATTTATCCGAGATAGTCCCGAAACGTGATGCACCGGGATTGTTTACATTCAATCCCAGACCAGGTATAGATCCAGGATTGAAGTAATTACAACAATCTAACTTTTTTTTTTTGTCAACAACCCAATCTACTAGTAGAACCCATTCATGTGAACATATTTCAAATAATTTCAACAATTTTAGAGTACAAAAGGTTGTGTAAAGGTAACATACCTAACTTTTCAAAAGTAAAAATGTGGGGACAATGATTTTGGATAGTGTGGAGACAAAGATCAAACACGTTGATGCTTAGAGCGGATTTTGAAAATGTGATCTGTGAGTTTTGGATAATGTGTTTTAAGTTCAAACATAGGTAAAATATGGGTTTAGAGTTTGATGAAGTGGTTAGGTGAAAATCATAAATGCACATTTATTAACAATGGTAGTAAATTCGTCTTTTCCCATGAATAAAATATTTAAGGGATCCTGATAGGGTCACAAATTAGATTTTTTTAAAATGGGGTCATTTATCCAGTTTCAGTTATTGGAGGGGTCACAAATTCAAATTACCCTTTTAAGTTAATGTGTAGTCATTTTAACTACAAAAGTAGGAAAACAAAATTATCTGATTAATGGAAAATTTTAAAAGATCAGCTATAAATTATTAGAATCATACCTTAGAACTTTTAACTTATCAATCACCCTCTTAAATTATGAAATTATTACAATTAAACCTTTAAATAATACAAAAATCACCCTCTTAAAATTATGAAATTATTACAATTAAACCTTTAAATATTACAAACTGGGCAAGCCACCATTAAACCATAAGTATTGTTACCATCAAACTCTCAAGTTAAAGGATTTTTGTTACAATAAAAAAGAAATTAAAATCAAGATGTAAGCTCAACCTCGAATGATTGATTAGACCCTGGAGTTTTAGGTTGTTTTATGAATTTTCCCTCGATGAATTCTAGTAACACTAAAATTACAATTCTTTTTTAGATATATTATATCACAAATTTGGAAACTTTTTTATTTAAAAAATTTCCCCTCGTTTGATTAGAACTCTCTCTCCGACCAACATGAACTTAACTCAGTACTAAAAATAAAAAGAATAAAAAACTTTTATCATATTCTCTTGTTCTCCCTTACCAAATGAAAGTTAAAAAGTCATTCTCTCATTCAAGCCTAACTTATTGACTAAAGCATCTTGTTTTTTTTTTTTATTTTCGAGATCGAGGTTCAATTCTCCATCTCCACATTCGTTGGACTAAAAAAAGTTATAAATTTGACGTTGGACTAAAAAAAGTTATAAATTTGAAATTTTACTTTCAAATGTAATGTAATATTATATGTTAACTACTATTTTGCCCTATATTTTGAGTTTTGTTCATCCTCGAAACTTTTAATTTTTGTTTATTTTAGTTTAAATATATTTTTTGTTTAAAACATTAGTTTTTGGCTTCTTAATTTTAAGAAGGAACCGTTTTAGTTAATTTTATAAAATCTTAACACAAATTTCTATAGACAGTGGAAACCCTTTAATATAAATTAGGACTATATTTTAAAAAATTTATTGAGTATAATATTGTGCTGAAATGAATGGACAAAAAAATGACTTTTTAAAACTACATGAACTATCACAATTGTTTTGAAAATACAGAAATAAAACAGATAACAAAAACTAAAAATATAGTACCAAAACAATATCTAACCTAATGTTCTCCAAAGAAAAAAAAAATTTAGTCCATTAAATCATTTTACTCTCATTTATGTTAATGATTTATCAAAAAGAAAAGGAGATTAATTTAATAAACTCACTAATTTATTTATTTATTATTATTTTTTTAGTGAGGATGGGGTGCTATTTAATTCCTCATCCCTCTCAACGAGATTTTGTGGGAATCTTTATAATAGGGATTTTCCTAGGAGATCGGGTTTCTCGTCTATAATTTTTTTAAATAAAAATTCTAAATTAAAAACGAATATTCTACGGTAAATTTACATTTGAATGGTCAAATTCTCATGAGAAATCTCCCTTTGAAAACAAAAATTGTTAAATTTCTAAAAAAATGTCTCATAAGTCATAATTCATAATTAAAAAAAATTATTATACAACCAATTCTAAAATATTAATTTCAAAATTAAAATTATTCGCAACAATTCGAAAGAGAGAGGGTGGAAAAGGGAAGAAGCCTTGTCGGAATAGGATTATGATGTGTAATATATATATTAAAAGAAAAAAAAGCGAGGTTGGAAGCAGAGTGAAATTGGAAACAAATTCTTTGTCTCCGTCTTTGCAGGACGCCTAAATGGAGATTTCTTGCCTAGTTTAAAATAAGTTGGTTCCGTGAGAAAAAACGTCTCTATTAATAACATGTAGATATGACTTTTTGAGTCGAATATATATTTCTTAGCCCATTTACTAAAAAGTAAACACACTTAAAATAAAATAAAAAAGGAAAAATCTTTGACTAAATATGAACTTGTATCGTTGACTAAATAAGAAACTATTTCTTAGAAAAATCTAATATGTAGGATATTTTCCATTGCGGGGTTATAATAATTTTTGTACCTTAGAAAAAGGTTTTTTTTTTTTTTTTTTTTGATAAAGACAAGAACAAGATTAATGTAATCGCCACTATTTATGAACAGCGTGATCCACGCAAGCTTTTTGACCTTCAACTTTATGGAGAGGAAGAGGACAAGTTTGCTTGTTTCCTTTCATTGAAAATTAAATATAATTTCGACCCCTAAATTTGTACTTAAACTTAATTTTATTTCTATCCTCCGCAAACTTATAATTTTGATACTTTCGATCTTTATAGTTCCTTGTAATCCATCTACTTCCAAAATGTTTATTTTGATTCTTATACTTTTAAAAATGATCACTTTGATCACTTCTATTTTTAATCTCATTTTTTCTATCACAATTTAAACACAACACTACACTCAATATATTTTTTGAAACGTAAATCATTAATTTTAATGAATTTTTGTTATATGCAGAAATTGTGTTAAAAATCTTACAAATAAAGACCAAAATAGTCCCTTTTTAAAAATACAGAGACTATATCAAACATTTTGAAAGTAGGAGAATTAAAGAATCAAAGTTGAAATTACAAAAATCAAAATAAACAATTTGAGAATTCATGGACTAAAATGAATTAAAGCTGAAAATGCAGCAAAATATTATTTTAACTTTTTTATCCATGAACCTTTTTTATTTATCAACTTTATTTTAATCATTTTAACTTAAAATTTTAATTTAGCATTTTTTAGTTGAATTTTAATTTAGCATCTACCTTTCATTAGCCTAACATTTAATCCAAATATTTGACATATACGAAGACAATGATATCAATTAGCATAAATACGATTTTTTTTTTTTACTTTTGTAAAAAATAATTACAACTGAGATTGAACAAATAAATGAATAAAATTTAGGTTAAATTATAAAGTTTCTTCTTTTGAGGTTGTGTTTAATGGGTATCTCAACATTAAAAGATGTCTAATACACCCTTAAATCTTTAATATTGTGATGAACATGTTCCTATAATTTTTTTTTTGAGATAAATATTATTTTAAATCCAAAGACCTAGGATCTGTCACACCCAACATTGAAAATTAAAGCAACCTATAAACATAAATTTAAAGATTAGAGATCAAACTTATAATTTGACTCAAAAGTGAAAAAAATAAAACTTGAAATTCCATGAATTAGAAGACCCAAAATGAAAATGAACTAAAATTTCAGGAACAA